AAAAGGAGGGAGGGAGGGGGGAGAGAGAGAGAGAGAGAGAGAGAGAGAGAGAGAGAGAGAGAGAGAGAGAGGGAGAGAGAGAGAAAGTAAAAAAGGAAGGAAGGAAGGAAGGGACCCTGTAAGGGTTAGGGGCGTGACTCAGTGGCAGAGCACTTGCCTAGTGTACACAGGTCCTTGATTTGATCCCCAGTATAGGGAAGGAAGGGAGGAGAAGGATAAGGAAGGACAGGAGAGGAAAGGAAAGGAAAAAGGAAGCAGTCTTCCTGTAGCTGTGCTTTCATGGTATAAAAGAACAAGATTTTAAAGGTTCATAAATTTTAAAATCAGAGCTGATCCTGACTCTGCAGTAGGTGAATTCTGCTTCTCTCTATTTCCATTAGGGGAAATAAAGGACAAAGAAATCATGGGCACAGGGCAGGAACAGGTCCAGTATTCCGACTGTTTCTAAGCACAGCTAAGGGCCTTGGCTCCCTGGGCCCCACGCAGCCCTGGCTCACAGGACTTTCTGTGACCTCAGAAGCTTGGGGATCTGAGGGGAGATGGTTCAGGGTGCAGCCTCCCCATAATTATGAGCACATGGAAGAAGCTCCTGGAGCCCAAGCCTTTGACACGAGAAGGTGGGAAAGGTACATACTGGAGAGTGTGGTCAAGGTTCCCTTCCAGCAGGCAAGCCCCTGGCCCTGAGCCCAGGACCATTTTGCAAGGTCATGACATTAACAATGAGCAAGCTTCTGGCACCTTACTCAGGGTGAACCACTGACTTTGCAAGCCGCTAGCCCAGTCTGCTCAAGACAAAGAGGAGCGCCCACACCTGCTGGGGCCACCTGCAGGCACCCTTCACCACTGAGCCCACTGTGCTCAGGTGCGGGGGGGTGTGCCAAGTGCCACACAGGTCAGGTACATTAGAAGCACCTGCAGAGCACGATAAAAAGACCCATCTAGACCTGCCTCGGGTTCTGTTCTCCCAGGGGTTGGCTGAGGAACTTCCTGACTCAGCTGCAGGCCCAGGTCCAGGCTCCCCACGAGCTGTAGGAAAGTGGGAGAGGAGACTTGAACTTAAAGAATTCAGTCACTAAACAGAATCCATGGCAAACCGGGCTTAAGGGGACAGTGGGAACCTGGTTTGGGAAGAGAAGCAGGAGAGACTGTGTCCTACACCAAAGCCACTCTCGTGGCCGATCACCACCTGCTACTGACCTCAGCATCAGCTAACACTTCCAAAACCCATCACGCAAGAAAGGGCACAGCTCGGAAGGCAGACGGCCCTTTATTTTTGCGTTCCGATAGAGTTCATCAGTCATCCATTACAATTTGGATCTGGAATGTTCCCACAAAAGATCATCTGTTGAAGGCTTGGTCTCCCCTGTGGGCGCTGTTGGGAAGGGGCTACAGCTTGAGGCAGTGAGGCCTACCTGGAGGAAGCAGGTCACTAGGGCGTGCCCTTGAAGGCTGTGTTGGGACTCCAGTCCCTTCTTTCTCTTTGCTCCCAACTGCAAAGGAAGTGAAGAGCTTTCCCTGCCAGGTGCTCCCACCATGATGTGCTGCCTCCACAGGCCCTGAAGCAACCAGAGCAAGCGAGGCATGTCTGTGTGCTGTTAGCCACTTGCCTCATGTGAGAAGCGAATCAAGAGGAGGAGTTGGCAGCTTGTGTGAACACCTGCAGTTGTGTGACATTGCCAGGACATCCACCCTTCCTTGACCAATTCAGATATTCGTGAGCTCACGTGGCCTGAGCCCTCCATCTCCCCACAAAGGAAAATCTTATTAAACCCAGAGTATGAAAGTGGGTCTGCTATCAGACAGCAAGGCATGCAATTCTACAATCATTCCTTTCATCAAAAAATAATTTTAGGACTGGAGGTATCTCTTAAATGATAACGTGCCTGTTTTGCAAGCAGGAACCGAGTTCCAGCCCCAGTCTCACCAACATATATATAATGTTAACTGTTACCTCCCAAGGTAAGTTTTAACAGTTACTTCTTTTGAAGAATTGGACATGAGTAATACACTACTTATTTTAATTTGTATAAAATGTAGCTTGCTGAACCTCCTTTATAATCTTCCTTAGGTCGCATCAATACATCTTTGAGAGTTTTTGCTTGTATTTCTAGAGTTACTGAAACAAAACAGAACTCATTCATTTAGACGTTACCCCATTATTGCTCAAATATGTTGCAAGAAGTAGTCTCATTTGTCACACTAAGAATGTTAAATGTAGAGCTTAGGTATAGCTCAGTGGTAGAGTGCTCACTTAGCATATTAGCATATGAGAGGCACAGCAAAATAAGGTAGGTAGATGAGAAATAGAGAGAGCGAGATAGATAGATAGATAGATGATAGATAAACTTATATAGACATGGGGTTTGTTTGGTGGAACTGGGATTTGAACTCAGAACTTCGAGCTTGCAAAGCAGACACTCCACCACTTGAGCCACACCTCCAGTGCATTTTACTCTTGTTATTTTGGAGTCTTGCAAACTATGTTCCTGAGCTGGTCTTGCACCATGATCCTCTTGATTTCAGCCTTCCAAGTAGCCAGGATTACAGGATAGATGTAGCCACTGGTACTGGGCTTACGGTATTTTTTTATTGTATTATATAAATGCATTATTTTGGAAGAGTTTGAATTAAAAAAAAACAAGCTGCACTTCACGACAGACAGTTCAAGAGCCAGTGCCCTAGAGCGAATTCCCCAGGCAATGCTATAAAGGGAGCGTATGTCTGTAACTGGGCAGCCAAACAGGAGAAGAGAAGAAAAACACCATTGCTCCATTGTGTTGGGTAATTACATACTGCATAGCCTCACAGTAAACAAAAACATTTGGTTCCATTTTGGTTGAAATGAAAGCCAATGTTTTCCCTTTCCCAGGCTAGTTTTGCCGCCTGGCCAGAGAGCTCAGAGCCACTAATGAAGGGCTGCAATCCCAGGCCAGCTAGCTACAGACCCACTTGACCTCCCAAAGCAAGGACACAGGGCCTGAAGGACATGGGTGGTGAAACCTCAGGGCCTCCTCCCTTGCCCTCTCTCACCCGCTTGTCTTCATGGGAACTTCCACTTTTAAGACCCTTCTCAACAGAGAACCCACACCTGGCACCATGCTGGGGCAAAGGCAGCCTGACTTGGTGCCCAGGCCAGTCTATCAGCTGTGAGAATCTGCTGGTCCAGGCCAGGGCCACCACGTGGGCTTTAGTGTACGTCTGCCACAGAGTGACCCACACGACTTCTGCCAAGAGCACAAATGCAAATCTTCACGTACAGGAGTGGGGACACATCCAGAAAGTCAGTGTAGTGTCAAATGGAAATTTACCCGTGGGGAGGGCTAGGGGATGAGAGGGCCAGCAATGTGGACCCTCAAACAAGTCTTCAGGATCACAGAATTGGGGCTGGCAGGACCTTGCTCCTCACATGTCACATCTCAGAGTGAGCTGGGTACAGTCCAGTGCACACCCTGGAGAAACGCATCCAAAAGAATGTGGGAAGGCAAAGGCCATCTGGGTTAGAAAGGGGTGGGGGACGGTGGAGTGGCTCAATTGGTAGAGCGCCTGCCCCTCAAGCCTGACACCCTGAGTTCAAACCCCCAGACTGCAAAAAAAAAAGAACGGGGGTTGGGGAAAAGAAAAGAGTTTGTAATTTGTGAATTGGTGCATTTGTAAAACTCCAGAGTTGAGATTTTCTATTTGTAAACCACCGACATGCCTTCCTAATCCTCTTGACAATGTCGCATCTTTCTCAAGTTCCCTTTGCGTGTCATTTGTGGTGCTGATGACTCACTGCGTACTCACAGGTCCCAGCCATGAGCAGAAGTGGGGTGGCTCTCAGTGAAAGGCTCCTGGCTCCTCGGGCTTCTCTGTCAGGGGGTGGCCTGCTTCCTGTGGGTGTGTCCACTGCAGAAGGGCTTTGTTAAGAGGTCCACTGAAGGACATATGGCACCTGAGTACCAGATGCCCAGGTCTCTGTCTTCAATCAGCTGGCAGAAAGCAGCTGGTGCCTACCCCTGCCTCTAGGCGGTGCCAACTCCAGCACTCACGCTACTTAAACTCTCTCTCTCGGGTGTCAAGATAGCACTGTGTTCAGCAAACCCACGGTTCCCTGCTCGGAAGGAAGATGTATTGTCTAAGTGGTAAAGTGCTTCCCAAAACATGGTCCATAAAACCTGTGGACTCCACAAAATGAAACGTACTAAAAGCTGCCATTCCACATACTCTCCAACACAAATCACACCCTTAAAGATGCACCTTTTATTGTATTTAATTCCAAGAAAATGATAACTCTTGTTTGCCAGCTAGGCAAGCTTCCCCAAAGGGCACACTAGAGATCCCCCCATGCACACCTGTTTACACTCACTGGCAAACATGCACATGCAAACTCATGCATGTACTCATGTGCAAACTCACATCCAGTCATCCTCGCACAGTCCTCACTCATGTGCGTGTACTTCCACTCGCGCACACACACTTGGGAACATTCATTCATGTGAGTATGCACCAGGAGTGTAATCACTCAGTCATGTGCACACACAGACACAATCATGTGTGTACACACGTTAATATGCTTGTGTACGTGTCCGTGTGCACACACTCACGTGCACACACTCATTTGTGAACTCCCCCATCGTGGCACACACACTTAATGTGGTGACAGCTTCCAGGGAAGAGTCACAGGACCTCTTTCTCTGATGGCCAGCACCAAGCGCTCTCTGCAGAGTACTGCACACTGAGGTTTGCATTTTCTGTCTGAGAGCCTCCTCAAGTAAAATGCTCTGAACCTCCTCCCTTGTTTCATTTCTCAGGGGGTGAGAGGTCAGGGGTGAGAGGTCAGAGACGTGTGAACCAAGCTGGGGCAGAGCAAGCGAGGCACACATCACCACAGTGGAAGTGGGTCACAACAGCTCCGGCAAGACCCACGACTTCAGAAGACCCGTGACAGTCCTTAGAGCTTGTTCATTTGCACAGTCACTGAAAGTCACTTCCCTGTGCAGATGTTTAAGGCCAGAGAGAAGCTACGTCTGCACCTTCTGCAGCTCCCTCAGCATGGCCTGAAGAAGCCAGCGAAGCTTCCAGAACACGCTGGGGGCCGTTCTCCAGGAGTTCCCGGCAGGGCCTCCTGGCTCTGCACACTGCTGCACCGCCTGCTGTAGCTGCAGCCAAAGCTGGGGGGAGACGGCAGGGCTGGGGCTCTTGAGAGTTGAGGGGAACCAGTGGCGGAATATTTTGTCACAGATCACCTAAGGGAAGGAAGGGCAAGCGGTCAGCTCGGGGCGGCAAGTCATCGTGAAGGCCTCGCAGGCCCAGGGTTGGCTCTTCACAGACTCGCCTTCCTCCTGCCAGGGGCCCAGGGACCAAACCTGGGCAGAACTCCTGGGCCAGGGCAGCCAGCCTTGCTCTGCACACGGGAGGTCACATAGAGACGACATCCTGAGTGAAAAGCACTATGAAAACCTGAGCCATTGGTCCACAGGTCTTTAGGCTCATGAGCAGAAGCCATGGCGGGGGGTCGGCAGGCAGAGCACTTCTAAAAAGCCTTGGAAATGTTTTATTTTAGGAGCAGAAGTAAAAAATTAGGCTACCACTAAGCTTTTAATTTAAGGCCGTGAAGTTCACTGGTACTGAAGATCTCCTGAAATTCTCCACCCAAACATGTCATTTGTTTACAGCTGTCATAGCCCTCCCGCCATTGGGGAAACTGGTCTGGGATCTGCACAATTAATAGCGCTTTATTTTTTCAATATCACACTTTCTATCAGGCTCCTTTAGCAAATGCCTTCATTCCACAGCACTGCTGTTTCAGAGACAAGTAAACTTAACTTCCATTTCTCAGTCCTGCAAGGGCAAGTGTTACTTTCAAAAACAGCTTATTTCGTTCTTTCCTAGAGAACACAATTTCTTGCGCAAAACTTAAAATGTCCTCAAGGATATACTCTCATCACTGTCTCCACCCACCCCTGACCCTGGCTCCGCCTGACAGGAGGCCACCCCCTGAATGTCCCTCTAGACTGAGACAAAGGCTGTACATGCATACCCCCTTCTCCTCATTTCACCACAGTAATGCATTATCTCACTGCTTCCATGTAACCTGTGTCAGGGAGACCCATCCAAATCACTGCTTAAAAGAATATTCCACTGGTTTTAATGTCTACATCCCCACAGTGTGGTTGTATCATAAATTACTTAACCAGTCCCCACTTCATAGAAACTTTTGCTATTATGAACAATGCCGCAATCAACATCTTGCCCATAATCTGTGTGTGTGTGTGAGTGTGTGTGTGTGTGTGTGTGTATATATATATATGTATATAATTTTCATTTTGTACATGCAACAAAATTTCTAGAAGTGAAACTTCTGGGTCAAGGGCTTGTGCATTTTCGTTTGATTGATATGGTCTCACTGACTCCATAAAAGTTGTACCAATTTACATTCCCTCAGCAACACATCCAAGAATGCCTGTGAAGGGAATGCCCGCCACCTCTGTGACATGTGTCACAGACACTATCATCTCGCCAACACATGAGTGAAAATTATTTAATTTGCAGTTTTCTTATTCTCAGCCAAGTGGAAAGCTATCTGTGCTTCCTTTTCAATGAATTGTCAAGCTTATGTACTTTACCCAAATTTCTCTCAAACCAATGGTCTTTTTTGTATTAATTTGTGGGCCCTCTTTATATCTTAAGGCCATCAGCCCCTTGCTCTAAATTGTTTCCCTGAGACGTGGCTCTCAGATGGACTTTTGCAGGCAGGGATTTGTTGAGGAGTGTTCTGGGGACCCATCTCCAAGGACCTGAGGAAGAAGACCCTGTGGTTTTGTCCTAATTGAGGAAAGGGGCTGGGAGTTGTTGTGTCTGTGCTCTCCTCCACCTGCATCAACCAATCCTAGATGCTGCTGCTGGGAAGTGGGTGTAACCTTGACAAAGAACTCTGGTGGGTTAAGTACAGTTCTGGGGGTTCACATGAGCCCAGGAGTTGGGGATGGTCCCAAACCCATCCTTCACACTCCCAGTCTATAAGGGGAATGGCAACTATTTTAAATTTGCTCATATTTATTCTGACTTTATTTTGTTTTGCCAGTGTAGGGTGTTTTGTTTTAAGATAGGTAAATTTGTCAGCTGTTCCTCCTTTGGTTTCAGAGCTGTGTCCCATACTTACAAAGGCCTTCCCTACATTACAATAATATTTACAATTCTCCCAGGGTTTTTTTCCTGGAACTTTTAGTATTTCACTTTTTATGTGTTACTTGAGCCATGTGGAATTCAGTTTGACACAGGAACAAGGAGCTAACTGGACTGTTTGATTACTAACATTAGTCATCATATAGCCTAGCTTCCTCCAGGGGCTGGAAGCCTCCCTTTATTATAGACTAAGTGTCCATATTTCATTAGGTTTATTCTGAGGTAGTTTTTGTTCTCTTTCATTGATGTGCCTATCAATTTATGCAGGGAAGGGATTTTTGAGTAAAATTTAAGTTAGCAAAGTCGAAAATTCACAAAATGTAGAAAAGATAAAAAATCATCTATAATCCTACCATTCAGAAATAGTTGCTTTTGACACTTTGGTGTCTATCTTTCCAATAACATATCACTTAATAAAAATGGGACCATATTGGAAATACTGACTTCCCGCCTTCATCCTCTGGATGCCTCCTATCATCTCATGTCTTTAAAACAAGTGTAATTTCAGTTCTAAGACTTTATTCAAAGGCAATAGTCAGACATGTGGACAAGTAAAATTGTTTAGCTGGAACATTTCTTACATCCACATACCCTCCAGAGATGCAATCTACAACCACGCTAAGAGTGTAAGCAATTAGTATTTCCCTGGAGCTTCAACCATTAATTAATAGCATTTTAATGACTATTCCCAATTGGCAAAAGGAATTTATCAGTGGATTTTAATTTGCATATCCTTGAGCGATTTTCCAAGTCCTTTGATCATTTGGGTTTCATTATTTATGTATCTCCTATCTATTCTTTCTTGCCAATTCTCTTTGGGTTCCACTTGCCTCTTCATGGATGTGGAAGGGCCCTCTTTGTGCTAACCATAGTCTCTTGTTATGCTGAAAAGAGCAGACATGTTTCCGTTTGATCAATGGGATCACATGGTAGCAGACACTCATGTGAAAATTAATCTGTCTCCACAGCTGAAGGACGAGGATTTTACAACAGACTCAGTGGGTCCACACTAAAGAGGCTGAATGGCACACCTACAAAGGCTCATCATTGCTGGGCCTCCTTAAAGTAGAAACACCCCAGGATTCTGAAACTTGACTCGGAAGTCTGTGTAGGCTTTGAGGCAGTAGAACCAGGGCTTTTGTTAGGGGCCTGGCCTGGACCCACAGATTAGCAGCACAACTGCCCAGGTCTCCCAAAGCCATTCCTCCTTCATGGGATGATGACAGCCCTATGCTGTGTTGCCCTGGGTGGCTCTGATTTAATCTGCACTTCAGGTCTGCTCTGGAGTCACATCAGCCTCCGGGTGGGGATCCTCTTGGGAGGATGGGATACAGGAGTGGTGTAGCTGAGGGAGTGACTGGGGAGAATTAAAAGGAGAACATGTAGACCAAGAGCCTAGAGTAGCGGCTGTATGTGACCAGACCCTGACCCTCTGCCCTCCCCTGGCTGACAGATCAGACCTCTTTCTGGTTCTAATCAACACCTGTGGGCCCAGGCTCACCCTCATCACCTGAGAGCCTCCAGGGAAGGTAGAAAGCCTGCCAAGAGAGAAGAGGTGATCTTCTTCCAAGGGGACATTCAACCCCGGAATCAGTTCCCACTTATTGCCGCTCTCCCTGTCATGGCTTCCTTCTCCCTCTAAGAGCCACCTTCTGCCAGCTCTGCCTGCCTACACTGCAGAGTCTATCCACTCTCTAGTTTGACCCCTTTCTGAGCACCGCTTTGCATTCAAATTTTAGCCTTGACTAATCAGTGTCAAGGATCTCACTCTGATGAGAGAGATTGTGCAGAGGCTGAAACACGGACAGCAGCTCTCCAGTGCCCGTAGCTGCAGCAGAGATGAAGGGAAGAGGAGCCCAACACCAGGTTTTCCTGGGTCCTGCACCCATTAGACCCCACTGGGCCACTTGACCAGCCACCCCAGAGAGTAGGCATCGAAGAGTAACAAAGAACTTCCCCTCCATTCTACCTTACTGAATACACTGAGGCCAGAGGCCTGACAGGTTGACCTCCAACTCCACTGAAGGGATGGATGCTGCTGAAGGCCACAGCACCCAGAGCTCAGCATCCCCACCATGTTCATGGCCCCTCACCTGCAGGTTGCTGTTGACACGCTGAGCTCCACACTTGTTTACTCGCAAATCACACTTTGAAAAGCAGTCAAAGAAACTGCAGTCTTCATCTCTTGTACAATTTTGCTCAAGGATCTCCCTCATTTTAGGTTCAAAAAAGGCCATGTCCACATCGATAGCCACCACCTGCATCAAAACAGCACAGAGCAATCAAATGGCACCACAGGCTCAGCTAGCAGAGCCTATGTACAGCTCCTTTTCCAGGCAGTAGTATCTTTGTCCAGGTTGCAGGTGACCTCAGGACTCTGCTGGCCAAGACAGAAAGTCCAGGCCACTCCCCTGGGAGTGGTTTGCCTCTTCAAAGAGAACTCAGGGCCTAGGCAAGTGCTCTACCTCTTCAGCCACTTTTGCTTTAGTTGCTTTTTGAAATAGGAACTCAATTTTTTTTTCCCTTTGGCTGGCCTGGACTGAGATCTTCCCAATCGCTGCCTCCCAAGTAGCTAGGATTACAGGTGTTAGCCAGCTTGTCTGGTACATGTGTTTTCTTTGACCCAAGCAATTTCCACAGATTGTATTGCTACGTTTTAACTGCAAAAGAAACTTTGCTGTCACTAGTTAAAGCCTACAATTTGGAACTATAAAAGTACAAGTATCACTTTTCATCTTTGAACATTTTCTTAGCTTTAAAATTAAAATCTCTGATGAGAATGGTAGTGCACACCTGTAATCTAAGGACCTGGGAGACTGAGTTCAATGCCAGCCTGGGCTACCTACTAAGACCCTGTCTGAAAACTAAACAGAATCTCTGAGATGTCTGAAAAAATTAATTTTCCTGCTGTTGATTTATCACTTTTGTCTGTTGCTTTATCACTTTTGTCTGGTCTCTGACCTTTATCAATGTAAATAACAAAATAATCAAAGAGAGATTCTCCAGAGAACACTGACACTTATTTGGAAATAGCCAAACACTGTAATGGGAACAGATGTACCACAGGAAATGATAGGCACATCCGGAGAGAATGAGACATGGGTTGTTTTTAAAGGTAAGAATGAAGATTCAGGTATTTTGAAGCAATAATCCTTGGTTACAATGATTATTAAGAAGTGTGGCGTCAGTCCAAGGATGAACAGTTGCTGGGCAGATGTCTTATAGAAGAATCTTTTGTAGGAGGTTGTGGAAGCCTCATGCAGGCTTGTGGTTGTGGCAGACTTTTGTGACAGTCACTGTCAGGCAATCATGTGTAAGAACCCTTCCATCAAAGCTTCCTGGCTTTGTGTGCTTTTTGTTGTTTCCATTAGAGTTGACACGAGTGATTCCATTTTGATTCCAACAGTTTTCACGTTTCTTTCACATCTTCAGGGGTTAGGATTATAAAAGTCGTAGAGACAAAGATAATCTGTTCTTGTGGTTGTAAGCAATGGGAAGGAAGCCACTTTCGAGTGGCAGGTGTGTAGTACCTAAGCTCTCTGTTTATGACATCTCTATTTCCCCAGTCAACTGGTTTCCAACTGACCAATCAGATGGGCATGGGAAAATGGCAGCTCAAGTTAGTGTGGATATGTTTAGACCCTGATCTGAGGATCAACTCCTAAGTTACATGGTCAGAGGGAGAACTTGATGACCCCCTGGAATTTCAGATTTATCTTCCTGGCTTCAAACCAAATAGACTTCAAAAACAGGAAAAAAAGTGTAACTTTCATATTATGCAGATTTTCCTCCACCACCTGGATATACCAAAAAAAAAAAAAAAAAGATGAGCTGCAATCTGCAAGAACCTGGAGCCTGCCAAGTCAGGCAGCTCGTAGCTTGGAGGTAGTAAGAAGCCATTAGGAAGGCGGTGGGTCTGATTGCATGGGCAGCATTCCACAAGCCTTCACAGGTCAGCGTCAGAGCAGCGCCTCGCCTTGCCCCTCTGCTAGCAGCTCAGAAAAGGGCTCATTTGTTGGTGTTCATTTGCTCTCAACTCTAAGCAGTGTTGGGAGGCACATTCTTTGGTTTTTATTTTGGTTTTTTGTTTGCGTTTTCTCATTCAAGATTGATTGATGCTGGATTGGGGATTATTTAGTAAAACAGAGCAGGAAAGAACATAATTTATTTCAAACTATGTGCACAATAATGAAAATAATGAACAGAGAACTTTCCTCTATTTAAGGGGCTTACCAAATAACAAATTCAGGCATGGCAAACAATTTATTATTTTAATCAATCTTTCCTATCTCACTATTTAGCCAAAATAAATTGATAATTTCATTTTTTTTTTTGGTCAGGTTAATACACTAAAAATGAATGAGAGCTATGCTAATGAACCTGTTATCTGTATAATTTATCACCTCGGCTGGGAGGACCCTTCTCCTCTTTCTATGGTTTCTGGCAATCTTCCCAGCCTCCCCTGGGCTCCTAGATAGAATTTCAGCTGCTGGCTCCTTCTCTGTCCCATTTCTGATGATTTTCTTCTCAGCTCCCAGAAAGAGCCAGATTTATTTTTTAATTTATATCGTATTGCTAGAATGAATTACAGCTCCTGAAGCCCAGCCCTATGCATGTAAAGTAAGAATAGCAGCAAAACAGAAAAACCCGCATAATATTTCTTAACATCAAGAGAATCATGTCACCTGCACAAATTTACCTGGGTTCCATCAGCCTCAAACTTCCTCCAGGCACCAGAGTAGAGAGATGGATGAGAAATGTCTCATTTTCCACAGAACAGAGTTGTTTCCTATTCCTTCCTCCATGTTCATTCTCTAGCATAGGAAAATATCATCTGCTTGAAAGGGGTACTGACTGCCATAGATGGGGTCACCTTCATTTCCTAGGTTTATTTGCAACCATGGATAGATTCGGGCTTGAACTCAGGGCTACACCTTGAGCCACTCTCCCAGCCCTTTTTTGTGATGGGTTTTTTCAAGACAGGGTCTTGAGAACTATTTGCCCAGGCTGGCTTTGAATGGTGAGCCTCCTAATCTCTGCCTCCTGAGTAGCTAGGATTATAGGCATGAGCCACTGGTGCCTGGCCAGTCTTCCATTCTGTACCTCACCTGGAAGGAAGCCCTTCCTCCTCAAGAGCACGGTATCCCAGGCACAGCGGCAGGCCCCATCCGCTGTGTCCCTGGGTGCAGTGGATATCAAAGTTGAGCACATGCTAGAACCATCTAGAAAGTAATATTTTCTTTTTCTTCCCTCTTTTTTTTTTTGAGACAGGGTCTTGCTGTGTAGCTTCCTGATCCTCCCGCCTAAACCTCCAGGCTGGCACCACCTCACCCAACTGGAAGGTAACATTTTTAAAACACAAATCACTGAGTCCCACCTCCAGGGTCTCAGAGTCAGTAGGTCTGGTGGAACCCAAAAATTTGCATTGCTAACAAATTCTCTCATGTATGTATACTCTGGTTTTCAGTTTAAAATAGTGAAGGTAAAATAATTGACTCTTGTGCCTGTGTCTGCAAGAAGGTAAAGAAGAGAGGGCTGGTGAAGGGGGACCGCCTATCCCTATGCCACAGCCCCACCCACTCTAGTACTAAAGCAGAAGTGACACCTACTGTGACTCAGCACCAGCCCACTAAACGCAGCCTGGGGTGGGGAGAGTGAGGACAAGAAGCAGAGTTTGTACTTCACTTTACTGAATGTTCTTTGCGTACTATGCCCACAACACTCGAGGCACACTTAGGTGGCCACCCAAGTCAGCCACAGGATTATCAGCAACCATGCACCAGGAACATCCAATGTGGCCCACTCCACATGGAAGACCCTGCCAGCCTCAGTCCTTTCATTGAGCCTTTGTGGCACCTGCTGAGCTCTACTTGAAGTCACTCAGTATGTGTCCTGGATGGATATCAAGCAACTGAGTCATGGGAACCAGCCCATAACTGCCCAAAGCCAGGTGACTGTGTATGGACACTCCACGCCTCAGAGTAGCCACGTCCCCAGGACTCAGGATGGCCATGTCCCCACCTCCAAGTGGCTATGCATCACAGCTTGTCTGAGGTGAGAGCATGGCTCTTCTTTCCACTACCTGCTCTTCCTGCTCACTAAGTAGGGAAGCCTTGACCAGGTAATAATCTCGCTTCACCTAAGAAATGAGCTGGGTGAGTGGTGGGGCGTGCGTCCTGCCAACACAGGACTTCATTTGAGAGGCAGCACAGGGCTCCCTGGAACCTCCCAGAACCTTCTGGAATCTGCCAGCACCTCTTCACTGGGTTCTTTCCAGCCTTTAAGCCACCCTGGCTTGTCAGCTTCTGGGGTAGATAGAGACTGGGGACTAGGACAACACCCTAGGGTAAGATGCTACAACGCCCTTCAGAGTGACAAAGGCTTAATTAGACAAGGGATTTGCACTGCCGGCAAATCTACTTTTCCAGATTTCAAGCTGCTTTAAGAATGCTGTGTCATCCTGCGCTGCCTGCCATGGGCACCTGTGGCCCAGGGCAATGGGACCTTCTTTTTGACCCTCTATGTCCTAACCTGGGTGAAGAGCATTATTCCATCAAGAGCCAGTCCCCACCATGACCCACTCCTTCTGGTCTTCCACAGCTGGCACTGGTGGTCTAAGAACAAAGTCATTGCCAGGGCTGGGAAAGAGGAACTGGAGCACAGCCCCTCCCCAACACCCATCCCGTGCCCACCACATCGCAGGCTGTCTTGTCACCACTTCCTGTTGTTGTGTTCCCACACCTGACCCGGCAGGTGAACGCACTAATCTGACATGTTGGTTTTAGCCTAGCAGGGTAAAAAGGGATTTGCTTATAATAAAACACCAAAGTCCTTCCTGCTGCTTTTCCCCTACTCGGTGTCTCCCCTGCAACTGCGTTATCCCAGAGTAGAAGATAAATGATCACCTCCACAGTCAGTGCAGTGACACAGTCTCCCTGGGCAGGTCTTCCCTGGTGGCAGGCAGCAGAGCTCCTCCTATCCGCTAGACATCTTCCCTGCAGACTGGAAGTTAGCAAGAATCTTTCCAGAAGGACAGTGGAAATGTCGCAGTGCACAGGCGTTTGCACATGGATGCCCAGGCAGAGCAGCTGGACAAACAGCCCCAGTGGCCTTCCCACACCAGCTCTGCAGCTCTGTCACCTGTCCTTTGCGAGTCAGGAAAGCCTGTTGTACATTAGCTCTAAGAAGTTGCTAAGCTACCAGAAGACACTACGAGCCACCGTCAGAGAGGGCAAGCCTGGCCTGTGGGGCCTCTGCCTGCTGTCCCCTCCACTGAACTCCTGCTCTTAGGGTGTAAGACATATCTGCCTGATCCTTTCATCAACACCAGCAAGGAAGCAGTACGGATGGGAGACAGGAATGATCTGAGGCCACCAAGCTGTCCAAGCTACCATGGCTTAGTCCTCAGGCGAGGGTCTCACGCCTCCACGAAGACCAAAAGCCTCTTCCCACCCACCCCCCACCCCCGCCCCAGTATAACCACACCTGCCTGCTCTGCTTACCGTGAAGTCGCTCCGGATGGCAAAGTTCTCAGGCTTGATGTCGCAGAGGTGGAGGCGGTGGGAGAAGTCATTGTCAAAATGGCTCACCATGTCCAGGAAGCTGAGGGCGATGTGACTGATGGCCTGGGCTTGGCCCCCCTGGTGAGCAGTGTCATCCAGGGGGAAGAGAGCTGTGTGGTGGGGACTGCCAGTAGGCAGGTACTCTACTGCGTAGAAGTGGCCACAGGAGCCCAGCACAGGCAGGACATGGTGGCTCAGGTCCTGCAGGAGACTGAAGTACACGTATTCCTCCTGCTGGAGCAGGGACCATGCGCTGGCCAGCTGCCGCCGCCAGCCAGGGCCCCGCCGGGCTGGCCATAGGGACCCCACGCTGCTGTTGGGCAGCTCCAGGCCTAGAGTGTTCTTGACCTCCCCTGCCACTAACAGGAGCAGCTCTGCCTCCGGGGTGCCCTGGTCCCCGGGCCCAGCCTCCTCCTCCAGTAGGCCGAGGGGTGGGAAGCTGGAGAAGGCCTCCCTCTTGGACTTGAGGACAACAGGCCGGCCCCGCCACTCAGCCTGCAGCACCTTCTTGCCTCGCTCGTAGTACAGGCAGCGCTGGTACAGCAGGTGCCCTGCCACACACAGATCCTCACACAGGCCACCCGTGAGCCAGCCACCCTGGTAGTCCCGGCACTGGAAGGAAGGGAACAATTGGTCACAGTAGGCAGTGGTCCAGCCAACGCTGGGCTGGGGCCAAAGAAAGGCACAAGTTTGTCCCTGCGTTCAGGGAGCTTGTAATCCAGCTGCAGAGAGAAACCTCCCAGATGTGAATGACAGAGGTATGGGGAAAAGAGATTTCTCAGCCGGCCTCCCACTGAAATATTTAAATACTGCATCTGTACTGAGCAGGCACAGATACTTCCTTATCACGTGCCCTAAACACATTACAACTATTTACACCACAGTTACATTGCAACAGGTACCATAAGCAACCTACACATGACTTAGGATCCAGGAGGGTGTGTGTAGGTGATGTCTGGATTCAATGCCATTTTATACATGGGACTGAAGTACCCCCCAAGTTGGGCTTTTCTGTCCACAGAGGTCCTGGGACCAATATGGAGGTTCAAGCCTAATTCAGTGAGGGTTAGAAAAAAAACTCCTCATGATGTATCAGTTGGCCAAGGACCAAGTTTTCAGAAGCAGGACATCTAGAGGCCAGAAGCTTGTCTTCTATTGTCCAGCTGGGAGGACCTGGGGAAAGGTGACTCGTGGTTGCACTGACCCAAGCCATGGCTCTCAACTCCAGCTACACATGAGAGGCTCACCCAGACAGCTTCTAACACCCTCATCCAAGAACGGTTAGATGGGCCCCATGTCCTTACCGGCTCCTAGGGCCGACCTCAGCACTGTCCTTCCTGAAGGCATGCACCTTGAACCTGCTATTTTCAACGTGGCATGCCAGCAGCTCTAGGGTTGTGGATATTTAGAAGAGCCTCGGGAGGCTTCAGGAGTTAGATCTCAGAGCTGGTGGACAGGAGAGAAGGCACCAGGAGGAGCTTGGGAGACATTCTGAAGGGGCGTGTGGGTGGGGGCGGGTTGCAAGTCCTGCAAGGGTGAAGAGACCACCCAGGGGCCTCAGATGGGGTGTTTCTCCTAAACTTCAGGGGACTTTAGGATAGCCACTGGTAGGACCTGGTGACCTTCCCCACCACACTACAATTCCCTAAAAAGACTGTCCAGCCCAACAATCCCACAAGGGAGAAGACAAAGGAGGAGGAAGTGCAAAGTGGAGTGAAAAGGGGATGACAATTCTGCTCTTTCATTTTTATCTTCTTCAGGACACATAGATCTCTGGACTCATCGTTATCAGAGTTAAGCATGTTTTCTCATCCACTTGTACCCTACAAATAAATCTTCCTCCCAATCATTACATTCAGGCCTTTCTTCTCTCCTGGAACTTCTATAGCACATGAAACCAAAGCCACCTTAATCCTTGTAAGGTCAAAAGACAAGTGAGGTTTTTGCCCCACTTTGTTTATTGTAAAATACCTTAAATGATCTGCTGCGGACATTGTGGTGTGTGGCACAACTGGACAAACCACTGAGTCACAAGCCTGAATTCTGCCCAGGCTACGCTGTACCATCTCGACATAGCACCTAATGCTTGGGACCTCGGGTCCCCCCGTGATGGTCCCCCCGGCCATCACTCCTGCTCTGCCTCCCTGGCACAGCGAGTGTACAGCCAAGTGAGAAGCACATGTGGAAGCCACCAAGAATGTAACCAGTGCCAGGCCTCACAACACGGCCCCAACAGTTAGCTATGTAATATATGCTCTCCAAAGGCAGGCTGGGTAGTCAGCTTTATTAACCTCAAGTAGATTATAAGATGCTCCATAAAGTGAGAAAATGAACCACCAAGGCTTAGACACACGATTTTGAAACCAAAGAAACTCTGAAAACTCCAAGTTTTCACGATCTGTTTGGCCTCATGGTTCAAACACGGAAAAGATGTAAGGCTATTTATAGTCTGTGTGTTACCTGATTCGGTGCCACTTTGCATACACTTTGCTGCACACTTACTAATTTGTTTAATGACAGGCTCTAACCCAAATGCAGAACATGGTATGTGTGTGTGTCACATCTCCCTTCCTGTGGGGGGAAGGGGGAGACGGGGACGGGAACAGGATCTCGCTTTGCAGCCTAACTTGGCCTAGAACTTGAGATATTCCTGCCTCAGCCTCCCGACGACCATACAATCTTTCTAACATCCAAACACTCTGGTTTCCAAAGCACACCTGGCCGCAAAGCATTAAATAAGAGACTTTGTGCCAGGTATCAGCAAATCACACCTGTAATTTTAGCTACTTGTGAGGGTGAGACCTGGAGGATCACAGTTTGAGGCCAGTCCTGAAACGTAGTTCAAAAGACTCCATCTCCAAAATAACCAGAGCCTGTGCCTGCTTTGCAAGTGTGAAGCCCTAAATTCAAACCCCCGTTCTACCCCACAGAGAGAGAGAGAGAGATTGTGGCAGGGCATAGTGGCCCACACCTATAATCCTAGCTATTTGGGAGGTGAAGTTAATGAGGTCAGCCCTGGCAAAAAGTACATGAGACCCCATCTTAACCAATAAAAGCTGAGCAGGAAGCATAATTAGGGGGATTTTGCTCCATGCTGTCTTGGGCATAAATGGAAAGACCAATTAAAAAAATAACTAAAACTAAAGGCTTTGAGGGCATGGCTCAAGTGGTAGAGTGCCTGCTTAGCAAGGGTAAGGCCATGAGTTCAACCCTCAGTACCACCAAAGAAAGGAGAGATTGTGTATCACTTTAAGCACTCTAGGCTAATTGTTCAAGATACCTATTACCAAGAAACACTTCCAGTGACTCAGGACACTTTCGGGCAGGAACTCAACAACAGACTGAAAAAGCAAAATCCCTGGCTTCCTGCTGAGTGGGGTCCCCTGCCAATCATTGACCTTTAAATCCCCTTATATCATATGGGGGGGAGAGGTCCCACTTGCTGAACAAAATTCTGCAAATAGAGGTCTGTGAACAGGAAGTCACGAACCTGATTCTCCAGCTAGTGAATGGCACCCTGAGCCTGGGGCTGGCTCTTGATCTTTGCAAAACCAGTCCATAAGAAAGCTGTACTAACACATGCACAAGGAACTGTTTTAAGCACATCTGAAGTTGTGTGCGTGCCACATTCTTCTTGGAACTTAATAATTTTGATCAAATGCCCTTCTTTGGCTTTGACTGTGGTACTTCCTTCCAAGGTGGAGGGTCACGAAACAAGCATGGAAAGGACTAGGACCCTTCATATCAACCACCCTTTGCTTATAATCGCTTCTAAATCATCCTTACAAGAAACAGGGGTCCAGCTCCTAAGAGACCTTGAAGGACAGTCTGGAGAGGAGGGGGAAGGCAAAAGTGGCAGGGACTGAGATGACCGGTGAATGAGATGTAGCCACAGAACTGTATATGCTGTTCACTCTACTTGAGGTTTTCTCTTTCCTGCTTTTTCTGGCATTTACAAAGTTTCACATTCCTATAATAAACCTGATAAGAAAATGCAATACTACTTTTCTTGATTTCCTTTTGAATAAAAAAAACCTGTATGATATCCAAAAATATCTTGACTCAATTCCATAAACATTTCTCTAGTTTACTGCATTTGTAATTTAATCAAAGGTGCTTTTGCATGAAGCACAAGACAGAATTGAAAAAGAAAAAGCAGCAGGTAACAGAAACCCATGTGGCAGGGGAAGTCACCTGAGCTGGGCACTGCAGAGTGCCCAGGGCTGCAGAAAGAAGAGAGGGAAGATGGTCCTAGATGCAGCCTGGGAGGCCCAGGAGAGAAGGGTAATAGCAAGGCACTGGCTGTGCACCCGGTCAGGCAACAGAGCTGGTTTTCTGCCTCTGTGAGTGGGGGGTGAGTGGGTGAGGAGAGCACCAGCTCACTACCAAGACCCTCACTCTTCACATCCGAGCTGTGGCCATCATTGTGCAAGCTGTGACAATTGCCACTCCAGAGGCCAGCTCATCCCACCTTTTGGTCTTGAAGCTTCCATCCCACCTTGCCACCTGCTTCTGGAGGCTGTGCCTCCCACTGCAGCTACAGGCTCAGTTCACAGCACAGATGCGACTCCCTTTAAAACTTCTGAAGGCCATTACAGTGTGACATGTGCACAACGGCTTAGCTTCGAGACAGGCTTTGTTTGCCTCTGGGGTCTGCCCCTCATAGGCTGAGCAGCTGTTTCTAAGCCTGTACAATGAGGACAGTAGTTCTGTGTCAAAGGAGACATGGCAAGGCCGAACAAGGTCACAGATAAACGGTGCCCTTGGACAATGCTCACTCCCTTTCCACCCTCTCAGCCTGTTCTGATGTATCTGGGCTCAATTTAAGAGCCAGAGAAGCAGAAGTCCCCAAGCAGACAATGACAGAGAGGGTGGTTCAGTCGCAGGCCCAGGGGTCAGGGAACCACACAGGGTTCAGCAGATAGAGAACAGCTATAGCGTGCACCTGCAGAAGAGTCTGGAGCACTCTATCCAAAAGCCGTTTCCTGTGTCCCCATCTGACAGACATGCTTCCCACCCAGAGTACATTAAATCCATCTTCTCCAGAAGTTGTCCTGCCCCCACAGGCCTTCTAGTCTCCCTCCCTACTCCTACCTGTCATTAAATAAGTTAACTAACAGTCACCTAAGTACTGTGTGTGTTGGGTCCCCAGCAGTGCTGTATACGCAAATGCACTGCAGCAATGGACTAAAATAGAAACAAAATTGAAGTGTATACAAGATTTGCTCCGGCGAACTTGGAAAGCAATTCCAAGCAGGAGTAAAGAGACATTTTGAACGATGGTTTAATCACTGGATTTGGCAATAGCCTATGGCTTTTGAAGGGGAACATTAGTTTTGGCTGTTTTTCTGGAGATTAGCACATTGGCTTAGAGGCGCGCCACCCACACAGTTGGCTACCTGCTAAGCAACCCAGGATCAGAAAGGTCAGGATGTTGAGTGGGGTGACCCAGGCCCTACCCAGGCCTGCCAGCTACCACAGGATGAGGTCTCTAGGTTTCTGACCTAACTTTTCAGTGGTCCAGGTATCTCATTTGTCAGAGAGACAATTTACATTAATACACAGTGTAAGCCAGGCACCAGTAGCTCACACCTACAATCCTAGCTACTCAGGAGCAGAGATTAGGAAGCAGAGATCCGGAGGATCAAAGTTCGAGGTGAGCCCAGGCAAATAGCTCAAGAGACCCAATCTCGAAAAAACCCACCACAAAAAAATGGCTGGTGGAGTGGCACAAAGTGTAGGCCCTGAGTTCAAACTCCAGTACCACAAAAAAAAAAAGCCACAGTGTGCACTAAAAGTATATACAAGTCAACTTAATACAGAGCTCTATGGCCGTCATTCTTTGTGGGAGGCATTTTTGGCATTTCTGCTCTGGCCCTTCTCAAGTAGAATGTGAAATGTGTACTCTGCAGGTAGTTACCAGTGCTACAGTAAGTTCTCAGGTGTTTTCTACATGTCTGTGCCTGCTGGCTCCAAAGAAAGACTTAATCTACCAATTTATAAAACAGTAAACGATGTACAAATTGCAAGCTGAACAGTAATTGGAAATGTTCATGACGGGAGACAATAGCTGGCTTGTTTTACTAGCAGCATAAGCAGCTGTTGAAGAAGCTATTTATTAACTCAATAAAAGTGGTTTATTTAAGTTCATTTTTAAAATTAGACTTTTTTTTCTGCTTATGGGGTTCTAACTGCCTACTTGAAGACAGGTACATTTCTGTACCCAAATTTGTGTGCACAGGATCAGATTTAAAAACACACTAGGGGTGAGGTCTCCTTGTTGCTAACTCTGGCATATTTTAAGATTCAACCTCACATGGGGGATTTGTGCTTCTCACAGATGTGTGTATACACATGCAAACGCACCAACCCATCAAATCGCTCAGCTCTGGTTAGAAGCACCCTTTCCAGTTAGTATCACAGGTCTCAGGCAAAAACAAAACCTGTCCCCTCTGTGTTGAGAGGGTTTCAGGGGTCATGCTGAAGGGCTTGGCTTCCCTTTTGTGAGTTTGTTTTATTTTAGGGAGCATTAATTTCCTAAGCGGTTAGCAACATTCATATTTCATGGAGGTATTTCCTCCCAAAGCAGTGACACTGTACATAGCAGAGTCTCTCGGCAACTAACTGCTCAACTGGGCAACCACCCCTACACACACACTCTACAAATACGGCCAAAGCACTGGGGGAAAGAGCTGGTCACTGGGGGAAAGAGCTGGTCACTGCTGTGAAATCTCTGGCTGCTGTGTCCTGGTGGGGTCTTGGCAGTTTCTGTCACCGCAAAGAAAGATAAACCTGCCCTGTCAAAAATGACTCCCTAATGTAGGCAACAAAACCAAATCCCATCAGCACTAACCAGACACAGGTAGCTAAGCCTTCTGATGCCAGTCCCTGGGAATATTTTGAAAGTGCTTTGCAAACAACATGCTGTGGGAGGGCTGAGTGCACCCCAAGTAGCAATTTAGGATTCTCATTACGGGAGAAGCCGTTCTCACCCGAGGTATCTAATGGCAGACTGCACAAAGCCACATCTTGGCTCCTCCTCGGCGCTAAATGTGTGAAGCAGGGCAAAGTTACTTCACCTCCCTAGGGCTCGCTGTTGCCATCTACGAAGTGGGGATACTAAAATGAAAAGCCTCATCCAGTCTGTTGAGGAGATTAAGTGAAATAATAGGGATAAGACTACTCAGCCCAGCACCTGGCAGAGAGGCTGTCAACAAGCAGTGGCAGCGAGCATCTCGGTTCCATGAAGGAGGGAAGCTGTTTTCCTGCAGGGAGAGCCAGGCTCATCAGGGATCAAGCATGGCCAAACTCCTCAGCCTGCTGAGCTAGCTCCCTGTATGTACAGCTACCTGGAAAAGGGGGGGCCCCAGCAACCTTACAGCAATCAATGAGAAGACCCCCCCAGTTCTTGTTTATAGTATATGCAGAAAAGCCTCAGGAGAGGAAAAATCCAATGTAGAAGACCAGGTCTCCAACACTTCAGAACAAGTCAAGCTGGCTCTTCTAGGGACTCTTTTTGTTCTGTTTTTGAGACAAGGTCTTACTATATAGCCCAGGCTGGCCTGGAAGTCAAGATTCTCCTGCCTCAGCCTCCCAAGTACTGGGATTACAGGTGTGTGTCATCTTGCCCGGCAAAGGACTCTCCTCTCTGGAGTGTGGTTGGCTCTCTGAGGAGGTGGGGACTTGGGGGAACCTGCAGACCTGACTCTGTCCTCTAACCAGTCCTGGCTGCTGTGTCTGACAGGTAGGTTTTCCCTGAGGACCAGCAATGCCACCTTCCAGGCTGGAGCCTGGGAACATGGGCTGCAGTGTGGGGGATCCACAACCTTGGCTCTGCCAGAGAGAGCCTCCCTTTGGCTCCAGTTTTCTTTTACGCTCCAGTACCCAGAGTGAAAGCTAATGAGCGTCTGGAGGCCAGTCAGGAAAATAACAAGCAGTTTTATTATGTAGGAAGAAAGCCAGGCAGAATGAAAAGTGCTAGGGGAGCTGGGACACAGAGGCTCAATTCAGTCCGAGTCCTCGAAGCCACAATGCCAACCCCTGCCTGGCAGCCTGGCCCAGCACATCTAAACTGTGGAGACTGGGGTCGTATTGAAGCCTGCCCTACTTTAGAGTGTCCTGGACAAAAGTTGAACCAGGGTGCTGTGTAGTTCTCACACCAGCAATTCAGAATGGAGCCGGCAGTTCACCTGACATCATCAACAAACTTTGTAAAGACAGATGTGGAAATTGAATCATTTTGGGGTTATATTGAGGGCCATCAGAGGCAGAACCAATCTCGCCAGCTATGTGTCAGACTAAAACTGATTCCATATGGCTGATATTGAAGGCATATTGGTAAATCGTCTAAACAGAATTGGTTTTAATTTAGACCTGGAATGCTAGGAAAGTCATGATTAGGCCTTTCTCCTCTTGACCAAAAGGTAAATAATGAAAACTGGTATTCATTTTTTAATTTTAATCTAACAGATTATTATATTAAATTTGTAAACGGGTCCTGCATCCCAGTCAAACTTTTTATTGTTTGCTTTGATTAGTCAATCAGCTTCCCCAAAATAGAGGAGAAATATTTATAAGTGAAAAGGATTTTTAGATGGGTTACTGAGAAAATTCTTAACCTTTTGCAACTTAAAACTTGATGGAAGAGCAGAATGCAGAGGCAGGATCAGGGTTCGAGGCCAACCGGAATAAAAAGTTCTCAACAGAAAAAGCTGGGCTTCGTGCCATCTGTCCTCCCAGCTACTGTCAAAAGCATAAACAGGAAGACGCTGGACTGGGTGGGAGGGACTTGGGGAGTGAGATCCTATCTCCAAAATAACCAGAGCAAAAAGGGCTGGAGATGGTCTCAAGCGATAGAGCACGTGCCTGGTAAGCATCAAGCCCTGAGTTCAAACCTCAGCAAAACTTGATGGAACTTTGGGGTAAGGATGAAGGAGTGGCCAGAATGAGTCTATGACCAGTGAGCGTCTCCCCGAAATGCAGTCAACGCATCACGCCAGGAGTCTCACTCAACTGGAGAACATGGTTTGTTTTAATTCCAATCTCACTTTAAAGATCATTTACTTTTAAAACCTTTATACTGCCACATTTTGAATGTGCAATCTCAAAAGACCCACCCATATGTGAGTAGTTGGACTGCAAACCTCCCACATCTGTCTTTCCTGGAGATTTCGTTGAAAACAAATTACCTTTCAAACCAAATGCTTACACTGGTCACTGTTTCACCAAGTGAATAATTATTTAAGAAATCAGGCAAAAGTAGTTGCTGTTGTTTCCTCCTTTCCTGGATTTCCTTTAGGGGATGTTTACCTCTACTCCACACCAAACCTAAAGACTAAAAAGCAGCCTGGGTTTCCAATCAAGGAAAGATGAGCGTTCTGTTTCAGGGCACGAGGCCCAGGGCATGCAGCCGCAAGCTGCAAAAGCCACTGTTTCTTTCGGTCCCCCAGGTGCCATGCTGGGCCAAGGAGCTTTTTGGTGCGATCCCTCAGGTTCCACCGCGTTAGGACACCGCAGTGGAGACCCAGGACAGCGCGCCGGCCGCGCGGTTCTGATCCGGCGCGCAGCGCTGCGCTCACCCGCGCGCATCCGGCCTTGGTTCCCATAGACCGCGAGCACCGGGAGACTTGACTTTGAGGCTCAGGGAGGTGGGAGCCCTAGCAGCGATCTGTCAGCCCAGGGTGGAATCCCAAAAGCGCTGCTGGCCTAAGAGGCTGGGGATCCTAGGGACAGAGGCGTGGTCCCTGCTGCACCGGAACACCGCACCGGCCAGCTCGGGAGACTGGCCGCCAGAACTTGGCCACCCGAGACCCGGAACGGACCCGCGAAGTTTCTTCAAGAGCGCAGGCTCAAAAGATGCGGGGAAAGAGTCGGGCAGGAGCACCATCTTAGGACAACGAGCCAATTTTGGCGTAAGGGTGAGGCAAGCCCTCCGCGCGCCCACCGCGGACTCCCTGGCTGAGACCCCAGGTCCCGCGCCTCTGCTTTAACGCCGGTCCCTGATCCCCTCCTCTCTGCGGGTGCCACCGCTGCCCGAGTCCCCCGATGGGATGAGCGCAGCGATGCCGCAGCCTCCCGGGGTGGCGGGGCTCCGAGGGTCCGGGGAGGGTGTCGGATGCCCCAACCCGGGACGCGCGGCACGGGGCAGGGCTGCGGCGGGACCTACCAGCGCGGCCAGGATGCGCCGGCTCTTCTCGTCCGTGCAGCGCTCGGAGAGGACGCCCGGGTGCGCGCGGAGCAGCAGCGCGGCCGCCAGCACCCAGCCCGCGGTCCACGCGGCGAAGGCGACCAGCGCGCGGCGCCCGCAGCGCCCGCACCGCGCGACCCGGCCCCGCGCGCCCGCCGCCCGCGCCATGGCCAGCCGGGTCCGGCCCCGCCGCCGAGCCCAGTGCCCGGCTCTCGAGTCGCAGCTTGGCGCCTCGCCGGGCGGGGGAGGGGGAGGCGCGGCGCGGGGGAGGGAGGCTGCGCGGCGGGAACCTCGCGTGGGGGTCCGCTCGCCTCCCCCCGGCTCTGGTCCACCCTCTCCCAGCCACCTCCCCACTTTTTCTTCTTTCCCTCACTTTTCCTCCAAGAAAACCAGCCCCTCACCTAGATGGTGAGGGGTTCACCCCCTCCCTCCTTCCTGGCCTGCCGGTCCCCTGATAGCGCATCTTTAATTGGCAGGCAGCATCCACCCTCTTCTCTGAGTCGCCACCCAGCGCCCACCTTTTCCCAGGACCCCCCACTGCACCCCTCGCCACCCTCGGGACTGCAGATCTGTTCCCATCCCGTCCTCTCTACAGCCGGACCCCAACTTGTGTTTCTCCGGGCCCTCTGTGGAGTAAGATCCCGCGGGGGTGGTGACAGTCTGGGCCACCCCTTCACAAGAGCCCACTGAGACAGATCAGCCCCTTCTTCCCAGGCTGCCCGAACTCGCGGGTGTCCCCCTCTGGGTAAAGAGGGACGCACTTGAGAGTGCCGCCAGATTTAATCCCCGCGAGGAAACAGCGCTCTGTTTCCTCTAATCTGCCCGAGGTGGCAGATTTATATTGGGGTGGCATCTGGGAACACGCTTCAGTAGTCAGGTTCCAGTCGTTACAGAAAGCTGCGCGTGCCAGGCCGTGTTAACATGCGCCCTCCACACACAAGCCGAGCTCCCTAAATCTATCTCCCCGGGAGAGCCAGGCCGCGCCTGGTGCTTGCGCCCAAAGGCCGGGCACTGCCACAGCTGCAGCGCCCTGAGAGCGGCCGCGCCCTCTGGCTCAGGCACGCACCCAACAAAAGCTCCTTCCACGCCAGTCCCATCCCAATCGCCCTCCCGACGCCCTCTGCGCGAATTTCCCAGGATCCTTTCCGGGGTTCAGGGATAACACAATTCCTCTCGCCCTGCCAAAGCTAATTGTCCCCAATGAACGGGCTTCCTACCCTTGTCTATTCTGCAACTCGCCGGCTTAACTTTGTTTTATGGCTGGTTCCGAAGTCAAGTCTCTGGGAGTTTCAAAGCCTCAGAGTAACAAATGCTCAGCCCTAAGGCTTACTGCACGAGTAAGCATTCCCTCCACGCAGTGGACCTTGGGGATTTACACCACCCAACCAAACACAACAGGCCCCTGTCACAGTATACCTGTTAAACCCACTCTGTACTCCCCAGCACACACACCCACACCAAAGCCCAGCGTGCAAACGTTTTCATAGAATGGACTGAAAACTATCATTTCAAGATAGTTGTAAAGCACAGAAAACATTATAAATACTTTGCATCTCGCCTTAAGTTGTTTTCCTTCCCCAAGAATTGTACTTAGTATATTAAGATGGAGGAATAAGAAAGAGAATGACATAAAGAAGTTTAACTGCCAAGTCAGGTGGCTCATTCCTGTAATTCCAGCACTCAGGAGACTGAGGCAGGAGGAGCTTGAGTTCAAGGCCAACCTGGGCTCCATAGCAAGACCCTGTCTCCAAAAATGTAGTGTAACCACTTACTCCTTCAGGCCTAGGAATAAAAACTACAAGGGAGAAAACCCGAACTTGAAATTAAAATTAACATTAGGATTTGCAAGCTGTTTTACTTTTTGTGACTTTTAAAAATATATGAAGCAACTGGGCTTCCTGGCTCACACCAGGCCAGCCTGGACAAATAGTCCCTGAGACCACCATCTTGAAAATAAGGAGAGCAAAATGGACCAGAGGTGTGGCTAAAGTGGTACTCTGCTTTGAAAGGATGAAGCCCTGAGTTCAAATCCCAGTCCCATCACATATTTGTGTTCCTATACTCTATCTGTCTATCATCTATCATATACATGAAGCACACACATCTTGGCATTTTTTAAAGACAAGTATATGGAAGAAAATTATAATCCTACAATAAAGAGCCCTTATAGTAAAGGGCCTCTATGCAGGCCTGCCATCCTGTTGTGTGGTTTGCATGCTGTGCAAAGCCTGATAGGGCTGAAGTCTACCAGAGCTCAGTTCACTGAGCCCTTTTCCGGGGAGGCAGGAAAGGGATATCTGATTCTTGAATGACAGCTGGCCTTGGTGGAGAGGAGGGGATGGGTGCTACAGGTCAGGATTCAGGGTATAGGCCAAGCAAGGGGAGTGTCTTGGCCTACAGCTGGCTTCACATCAACTTGACTTGAACACATTTTGACTCCTAAAAAAACCTCCATGAAATCCAAGAGCTACTTTCCCTCTCTTCCCTTCTTCCAAATTATGAAAACTGAAGTCATAATGTTAAAACATTGGGTCCCTCTGGTCATAATATCAAACTTCATTCACAGAGAAATTCATGAGTTACTTTTCCTTTGCTTTAAAAGAAATGTAAACTTGGCTCTGTAAACCACGTGAAGCAAAAGGAGTCCTGTGGCACCACAAGGCACCCTAAGACTTTAGGGTCCAGTACGCAAGCCCCATGCATGAGTCTCACATTCTGTTAGGCAGATTTTTTGTTGCTGTGATTTGAAGTAGGAAGGATTCATTTTGGCTCATGGTTTCAGAGGCTTCAGTTCAAGGTCAACTAGCTCATTGTTTTGGGCCTGACATGAGGCAGAATATCACAGTGGTTTAAGGAGCTCATGGCAAAGGAGGCTACTTACCTCATGGCAACCAGAAAGCAAAACAGTCAGATAAGAGGGGCCAGGGACAAAATATGCCCCTCAAAGGCACATCCCCAGTGGCCTTACTTCCTGGATTCCACCAATAATACCATAAGAGCATGAATCCATCAAGGGATCAAAGCCTTCATGTTCCAATCACCTTTCATTGATTGGATTCACCAGCTGGGGGCCAAGCTGCAACATATGAGCCATTTGGGGACTCTTCATATCCAAACCATAACAAGCATTCACTAAAACTCAAAGTGCACACATCCTATAATTAGAGGTGGCTCTTGTCAATTAAGCGTTTTTCTCCCACCGTTACTGCATGTTCGTTTATTCTTCCACTGGACTAGAGACGCTCTGGAGTGTATCTTACAGCAGTCTGTAGTCCCAGGACCTAACATGGTGCCCCATACAAAGTAGGCCCTTAGGCGTCTGCTGAATGGACGAGCAAAATACGGTGCTGGCATTTCCTCTGAAAGATCAGAACCCTTGGAGGACCCTGTGGAATTTTTCTTGAGAAAGTGCTTCCACCACATGACTATTTCCTTCTCATTTCTGGAGGCTAAGTTGAGCAATGCAGATGCATCACAGGGTGAGGAATATGTTTGAGCACATCCTCTGGGTTCCGAGCTCATCCACTGACAGCTAAACTTGTCACCCAGGGCAGAATGTGAATGACTTGCATGGAAGAAAAAGTAAAATTCTCTGGTTTCCCTGACAAATAGGGTTATTAGTGCTCATTTTGCTACATCTCTATGAGCTTATAAACACATTTGTCTTCCCAAAAGGACTTCGACAGAAAGAACTAGCCCTTACGAATCGTACAGTACTTCATGTATTCACATGCACGAACTCCTACACTCCTACCAGCGGCCCAGCAGTGTAGACTGAGAGAATGTTATTATGTGATGTTTTATGGAAAACGGTGATCGCCTTTTTTAGATGACCTGTGGCAGGAACAGTGGGCTAGGGGTCCATCCACTCACTTCTTGGTATGATATTCTAATTCCTATATTGACATTAAATTGCCTGCTCCGTGAAAAATGCTCTGTGTTAATCACTTTTCATCACTGGGACAAAATACTTAGGCAAATCAATTAAATGGAGGAAAGATTTATTTCAACTCACTGTTTCAGAGGTTCAGTCTATGCAACTCTGGCTCACTGCTTTGGGGCCCCAAATCCGTCAGAACCCAATGGCCTCATGGAGGGGAGCAGTGTATGGTGAAGCAAAGATGCTCATCTCATGCCATCGGGAAGCAGGGGGAGAAAGAGAGAGAGAGAGAGAGAGAGAGAGAGAGGGACAGTTATACCCTTGCTCAAGGATGCTCCTCCAGTGACCTACTTCCTCCGACTAGGCTCCATCTCCTTTCTAACCCCCATAATAATGCCATCAAATTATGAATCCATAGTTAGAATAATCTATTCACAAGGTCAAAGCCCTTGTGATCCAATCACTTCTTCAAAGCCCCACTTCTGAACATTGCATTTGTGATCAGCCTTCGCTACAGGGCACATTTCCTAGCCCAATCATAGCATGATCTATACACATGTAAGTATGTCCCCAGGCCAAGAAAATGTCTAACAGTCACCAGTTTTACCAAAATGTGCAAGAGTTTTGATAGGAGAAGATTTTAACTCATTCTCAGTTTTGCTGAAACCTCTTTTGCCCACTGCAGCAGTGGGGACCACATGCACATGGTGCAAGTGTAGGCAAGGAAGGATAGCAAGTCTCTGGGCACCTTGGGGTGGAGGAAGGCCAAGCCTGAAGAACAAAAAAACTGCCTGAACCACCTCTCCACATTCCCAGTCTGCTTTAGAAAGGCTAACGACTGTCATCTGGGGTTTGCTTTACCCGGTACTTACCTTGCTTTCAATTAAGTGAGAGCAGTGCCCCCCCTTTTTAATGAGATTTTGTTTGGAGAGGAAGAGAGGTATTTTGTAGTTGGTGGCATGCCTGTGGGGGGGATCCTGGGAGTTCTTTACACCAGAGGACAGTTCTGAGAGGTGAGGGGAGGTGGGAGGTGTGGTGAGAAGAGGAGAAGGAAGCCTAGCTTGCTGCTCAAAAAGCTAGAGCCTAGAGGAGTCTAGCATATAAAATTAGGCTGGTTTGCAGTACGTAGGAATTCTTATAGGGTATTGGCAAAGATTTGGCATCAGGAGGTTCCTTACAACATGGTTGATCATAACAATGTGAAAGTAACCTAAATGCGTGCAGCAGAGATTGGTTAAATAAGCTTTAGACATCCATCAGCAGAAAAATGGTATGGTATCAGAAATTG